ACTTTTTTTAAAGCTGATTAGTTTTGTCTGTAACTTCGTGCTCAATGTGATGATGTCTATAGCAAGGCTACTGCAGGAAAAGCTGAAAGGGCTGCTGCTCTGGGAAATGGGCAGCTACGGCACATCTGTCAGGTCCCGCATCCGAGCCTTGCTGAAGTTAACGCTGCTGCGGGTAACATCTTGTTCAGCCTAAAGGATACCTGCCCCTACATTTACCGGGAACTGAAAAAGTAGAAGACATCACCAAGCACTAAGTAGGCTGCAAATCCCAGGCTCTAGAGAATAACTGGGGAACTGTGCGTTTGTGCTGGAAAGTAGGAAATGGCAGTGAAGGACATGAAGAGAAAGGCATGAGAATCTTTCAGGCACAGATCTCAGAACTGTGAAGAGAAAAAGAGCCCTATTTTATCCTGCTATTGAGAGAGGAATAAGAGTTTCTTTTGGTATTTCATCATCTGTCATAATTTCTTCTTTTTGGTGGAAATAACCTTTACAACCTTAAATATTGTTATAAAGTTGAAAGCATATTATACATGTGTTAAGGAAACGGAACATTTTCTACAGCTGCAGACTTTTCCTTTCCTTCAGGTCTGCAAGTTTCGTGTTTTCTTTTCTCTTCTGTTTCTTTCTTGGCTTTGTAGACATGGACTTTTTTCCAGCCTATGAATCTTCAGATAGGAGTCTCTTGCTGAAGTGTGGTGTAGACATGTGAAAGGCTAGAAGACATGTGAAAGGCTAGACCTTCACCTTTGAAAAATGGGAATCTATTGAGGCTTCACCCATATGCTGAGTTTTATCTGGATGTACCAAACATGGGAACACATTGATATCAGCAAAGTTCTGTTCAACTCTGATGTCCCCTGACTAATCGGGATCTGAGCTGGTACAAGATGTAGCAATTGGTGCCGTAGACTCATGGACTTCAGTAAAGTAGAGAATAAGAAAAGCTTGTGGCACACAACCTGTTTATGTGTGTGCTCAGTTGGCCTTTAAGTCACTTTTTTCCCTAAACGAACTAAATAGATGCAGGAAACTGATCTTTCTTACAAGTATGCTCGAGAAGCTTACAAATGACAAAGTCTCCTCATGATCTAGTATTTGAACTTGTTTCTAGGTCTCTAGTGTGCTTTGCCCAGCTAGCTTGATTGAGCTGTCTGTATCGATGCCAAGATTATTTTTACCGACTTGTTACAGCTAATTCAGGCAGCTCTGTGCCTCTGCCTGAGGTTGCACAGGACACACGCTGGGCTTGGAGACCGTGATGCTGTGTTCACTCACCGCTCTGCTCTCCAGGGCAGTCTGAAACCTTCATCGAACGGGCTGAGTGACACTGCAAGTGTGTAACTCTTTGCCTTTTTGTCAGTAAAACAAGATATTCCCTGAGATTAGGGATGACGGGGTTTATATAATTCAAATAGGTGGGGTTTGGGGGGGTTGTTTGTTTTGGTTTGGGGTTTTGGTTTTTTTTTTTTTTCCAACCGAAGGAGACAAACACCTCCTCCCAAAATAATGTTATTTTATAGTTTCAAGTGTCGGTAAACATGCTGTGCATGAACAGTCTAAAGTTGTAATGGAACCAAAGTGTGAAACAGTGCTGTGGCTTAGTACAGCAAGTAAAGTGGTCATCTGCAAAAGCTGAGTGGTCAAAATCTCTAACTAGTTGTGTCCTTGCTGAGGAGATGCTTCTTAGCGTGCAGCTCCGTATTGCAGCTAAACATAAAGAGACCAGGTTGCGTCATCTGCGCTGGCATTTGTCTCACCTCATGGGAGAGTCATTTTGGGCACCTACACTGTAAGGAAACTAAACCAAGAGGAAAAATGAAGATTTTCATCACTGTATCTCCTTGAAATAATTTTCTGCAAGGTTAGAGGCTTCCCAGTACCAGTAAGAAAGGGGTAGAGACATGCGATGGTGGCGGGGAGAGGGGGACTGACATTTGGCAGGAGCTAGCTATCAGAGAGTGATTTATCGGCAGCATCAGATGTCTCAAGAACTGAGAGAGAAGAAAAAATGTAGTTGTGTCTTGGGATTTTGATTTTATCTCTGTCTCAGGTTAGCTAGAAGACCAGAGAGGGATGGTTCGAAACAGGCTGTGTATGTTTGTACCTAAATCTCCAACTGTAATGCTGTTCTACATAATCAAGGAAGATCTTGGCTATATGCATAAATCCCAGTGCACGTACAGTTCAGCTGAACTGTTCTTTTAGTTAAACAAGTCTGCATGTGAGCATTTCTGGGGATAAAGTTTAGTGAGGATTTGTGTTTCTTCTCAAACTTGTATTTCATTGTAAAATATTACTGCACATATTTAACATGACTACCAAACAGCGATGATTCCAGCAAAAACTAGTAAAATAGTTAATCTCTTGCACTGTGGAGACTAAAGTAATTTTTGGATCTTGTTTGGACAGCAAGGAAGTATTTTGTGTTGGGTAAGGCTGAAGAGAAATGGAATTTGGAGTATTTTTGTTGTACTGGCAAATGTGAAGGGACTGGTGGAGGGAAGAGTTACCATGCCTCCCCAGCTATTACCTATCTCAATTGCAAGAAAATTTTATTTTCTTCAAGTAACTGAGTATAGTTCAGTTTGCCTGAACTGAACCTGCTAAACCTTGCCACTTTTTGAGATGGCAATTCAGCTTCAGTGGTATTAGCAACAGAAGGAATTTCAGTGCTGCTCAGATACAAATCACTGTAAGTTTTGAACTTCTGTCCATTTTTGAGCTGGTTTAAATGGTAGAATGTTGAAAATAGTAACTTGCAGTCTGTCTGCCCCATCACTTTAATCGGCAAAGTTAGTGAAAGTACAAGATTCAAACTTACGGGCTGCAGAGCTCCTTATTGATGCTGCATTGAACATCTACACTTCATTTGCACAGGAAGAATTTCCAAGTGATTTCAGAATCTGGGTTGGGTTTTATTTTCCCATTTGTGCATTAATTTGTCACCAAAAAGGACATGAATGTGTCTATGTGGATATGTTGTCACTTCTCGCACAACTTTTCCTTCTTTTACTACTGCAAAGTGCTAGTAGAAGTTCACTGCAGTTTGCGTCTACTGTTCACCGTCTGGGTCCCATAAAAACTGGTGAGCTTGGAGAGACAGAAGCCCTGGCCGTTTTGTACCTTTATTGAATGGAGAAATGGTAGTGATGTGAGTACTGCTACTACTGTTAATATAACTGTGAGGATCAGATGACAGTACCCCAAATTATTCTTTTTTCAACACCGCATTGCAATTTGCGGTAGTGCTGGAGTTGGTATGGTTGTATCATGGCTGTAGCCTGCAAGCTACCTACGTACATTAAAAGATGCCAGGATGGTGTGGCAGCAAAGCCAGGTCAATGAGGTTGAGAGTTATAGGCTAATCTACTCAAGATGGTATTGAGGCTATAACTGGCTATAGGGACCCAAAATGAGCTGCCTTCCAGACATATAGTAGTCTTTCAAAGTGGTGTAAACTAAGCTATTGCAAATGCTCATCCGTTTGAATCGCATCTGATTTTACTAGCCTAAGGGTATTGGCTATCATGGGTTTTCTGGTTGTTTTCTTGTTTTACATCCTTATCTGAAAGAGGCTGGATAGCAAAACTTCCCGATGAAGACCTTGCTAAAACTCCTCACAGCTCTTATTTATATACCTAGCTCTTGTTTATAGGCTACATAGAGACCTTTAGGAGTGAAAACTGGTGTATGTTGACTGGATTGAAGTCTAGCAGTGTTTCCCTCTGTAACTCCCACAGACTCAAGATCTAGTGCAGCTTGGAAGGGACATAGGAGCGTGCCTCATCCAGCCACAAGTCTTTGTGTGGGAGCTTTCACCTACATCCCCCAGGTGGGGGATTCCTGACTTGAGAACATACATAGTATAGATTTCAACAATTGTAGTAACTATCTTAATTTCCTTCATAATTAGTGGAGAGAAATCGATGTGAGAGAACATCTGGGCTGAGTTAGATGTCTTCTGGTTGCTCTGTTATCCTTCAGTGGTGTTTTTTTCTCCTCAGTGAATATAAAGGGACTGCAGATGATTAATTTAGATCTAGGTATCTGTCTATCTGTATATTTATACCATGTAAGTATCTACATTAGTCATCTGTAATGATAGCATTTTAAAAATTCTGTTAAAAGTCTGCTAGTTGTTTCCAAAATGCTCTCTGCAATTTAAACTAAAGCAAACATAAATTGCAGTGATACCACATATATAACAGGACTCTTTACATATCTTTGGCACTTCTTGTTTGAAATTTCTTTATTGGGTCTGGACTACTGTGACTAGGACTGCCAGAACAACTCCATCTTTTAGGTGGCTCTTGATCGACTTCCAGCTCACTTTATCTCTACTTTTCCTCATGTTCCTTCAGAATTAGGGTTTGGCAGGCTCTCTGGAGGTGGGAAGCACTTGGGTAGCAGTGATGCTATCCTGACTCAGGCTGACCCCAGCTGGAGTGTGACATCTGTAAATAGTGCTGATGGGCTTCTTGGGACAGGAGTGTGGTACTTATGGGCTGCGTCTGCTTCGTTTCCAGCCATGTGCTGATGATAACTGCCTTCATCCCTTTGCTGCTTTCCCTTTTGGGAGGACAGTCTTAGCTAATGTCATACGGAGTTTTTTATTCAGTTAAGCTGCTTGGCTTACTCTCACCAGTAAGTTAGCAGAACTGGTAGGAAACGCACTATAAATGATGACAGATAAAGTTATTTTGCAACAGTAGGAAGTCTCCAGTGACTTCTGCTCTGCCTTCTGCTTTCAGTTAGTGACCACCTTCTAGTGTCTGCTGGTTATAAATTTCACATTTGACATTTGGTTTTAACTCCATATGTTTTGATTGCAACTTTTGTAGGTATTCTTTATGTAGAAAACAAGAGAGCAAGCCTCAAACTTCCATAGCAATAACTTTTCTTTGTATTGAGTGTTTGCTTGTATTTTTCTTTCCTTCTTGCCTCCATTCCCATAGAAGAAGGAGGTCATCATGATGACAAAATCTTTTATTTTACAGAAAAAAGCTGAAATCATTTTTTGCAAGATACAAGACGTTGCAGTGGACAAGTTCTTATACTTTACCAGACTTTCCTTATGATGTCAAGTGCATATTAGCAGAAAAAAAATGCCCTGATCACACCATGAGAATAAGGATCATTGAATTTTTACAAGCAGACATGACAAAATACCTAGAAGGATCACTGTGAGTAAATATCATTAGATTTATTTGGGGGCATTATCTATTGGCTGCAGAAGTAAATTTTCAAATGTATGTAAAGCCCTTCTCTTTAATATGCTTGCTTAAATAGAAGAGGCTAAGGGTCTGAAACCCGTTGAAGCCAACAGGAAGATTTCATGCAAACCTTAAAGCTATTCGTTATTTAGAGGGGAATCGATAGTCTGACAAATAGGGTAATGTATATCAGCGTAGACTCCAGACAGTGTCTAATACTATCTAGAATATAAACTATTTCTTCTGCATCTCCATCTCATTTGCACAGGTATCCGAACAGTCAGCAATATAACATTGTTGTCAATGCTCTGCTGCAGGCATACCCGTTCCTTGATGAAGATGGGAATGGCTTTGTAAGTACTGTAAAGGGTACTCTGTCTTGGAAAATACAGATTGTTTGTTTTTCCACATAATCAATCACAAGAAAATAACGTAGTTCAGAGGAAATCAATATCGATTTCTTGTATACTGGCTCTATTCAGGGCTGTAAGCTTCACTTTGACATGTTTGGCAAATTATGTTCTGATTTCACTATGTTGAATAAAGATTAATCCAGTTATAACCATTCCTCAGAGACACTGTGAGGTCATGCAAACCTGTACATGAAATCCCTCGTTGCTTGTTCGTACAGTTTCTTTCTGGATTGGTTTCTCTGAACGGATAAATTTAAGTAAATGTGACTTATTTTCATTTTTAAAAACAAAGAAGCGAGGCCTTTAGAAAATAGATATCTAGCTACAGCATGCAGTAATACTACTGGTTTAAGTATGTCAGGAATCTAGGCCTAATTAAAAAAAAAATTATTTAAACACACTGGCTGGGATCTCAGTGGGGACATAACAGAAAGCAGTGGAAGGAGATGACTTAAATTTGAACTACATTTTTTCACTCTTGTGACCCCGAATACCGATCTGTGGTCTCAGAGGACAGTGTTCACCTTTTGGCTTCACATCATTGCTTTGCCATGTGATACTTTTATAGCATCTTGTAAAAGCTTGCGAGCCTCAATGGGGATTGTTAGCTTTATACGTATATAAATATATATCTGGTGTGCAGTTACTGCAGAAAGCAAAATAGTTTTGAGGGAAAAAAAAAATAAAGTGAGGATTAAGGAGGGGCTATTCTAGTTCTCCCCTGAGTCCAGGCATTTTCGGAGGGAAAGGACTAAAGAAAACAAACACATCTCAGAGAGGAGAGATGAAGGAGAAGGATCAGAGAGCAGCAGTCCACCCTTATTTTCAACCAGGATACCTCTATGAATACCCCAGTACTCAGGTTGGGGTCCTGGGTAATGCTATGGCTTCATCTGGTTCCCTTCCTAAAGGGGAGCTGGAATGATGTTCAGGCTGGGTCCAAAGACCTTTTTACAGCCTTTAATTCTTAAAACCTGTTTTTAAAAAGAGATTCTTAAGCTGGATTTTCAAAGGGCTTTAATTGCAGCAGGACCATAAACTGAGTGAAACTACTTATACTCCATTCTTCGGGAAATGGCTTGTCGCTTCCTGGGTGGATCCCAGAATTGGTGCTGGCAGAAGTTACATGATGGGGCAGAGACTTCAGAGATGTTGTTCTTTATCTTTGGTGTTTCTAGAAAGCATATCTGGAGGAAACCACCGTAAGTCAGTGAGGAAGCTGGGACTGGCAGTTTGCAATATTGCTAGTCTAACGCTTCTGAGCCAGCCCCTCTCCATTGCCGGGGCTGAGGCAGGATAAAATGCACTGAACGTGTATATGTCTATATACTTAAGTTTGGAGGAGAGGGTGAGAATGAATTACTATTTTTATTGGCCCTACTGTTAGACATTCTGTTCTTCCTTCACGATCATAAGGGCTATAAATACTTCTGTTTTCTTGATATGAGATGATAGATGTGTGTTACAACAGCAACGGCTTGAAACAAACCCTACAACATACGCACAGCTACTTAGCATGAGGTTTGCATTAAATCTGAATTCATATACCTTTAAGGAACAAATGAACAACAACAAAAAATGGGCTTATGACCATTCTTTCTTCTTTTCTCAGAAAAGTGTCTTCAGCAGCTCAAAAACCTGAAGTTTTTGTAGGTTTTTCTTTTAGAATTGCCTCAGGCTTGCACGGGACTGTAAGAATTGCTGCTTGCTGTTCCTGGTAATAGTATTGAACCACAGGTCTTGTAAGACGTAAAATATTACTTACTGAGAGGTTTTGAATACCTTAAACTTGTTTATCTATAACAATTATACAGTTATTATTACAATTTTTAATAGTACATTGAAAGTATTTAAGAAAACTGACATCAATAAAATAATTCAGAGGTAAAGCAGGAAGCTTTTTGTTTGAGGACTGATAGCTAAACGAAGAAAAGGAAAACCAACCTAAGAGTAGTATATTTGAAGCAAAAATGCTAGTTGTATTAGTTATTTAATAACATATATATAAACTTCTGGAGATGCAGTTCATATAACGTGGTTTTGGTGTCTACATCGGGAATTATTTACAACTCCAACCTATTTTAAACAAGCAATTTAAACTATATATGCATTATGTAGAAACTTATCTAATATTTTCAATATCTCATACTGTTGCAATGAGAGGTCATTAAAGGTTTAGTGTTTCAAGATTTATTAGTAGATTATCCATAATTCTATTTCCTTAGTTAAAAGGTTTCCCATTTAATTTTGCACTAGGGAAAAATATACTCTGTGCCATCAGCCCTTTTGCAGAGGATATCCAGTGCAATATAGTCAGGATGATGATAATGATCCTAAATGAATAAGTTTACAAATAAGGTTACGAATAAGCTACCTACGTACTATGAATAAGGTACTTACATACTATGAATTTTAAAATAAGGTTATTTACTAGGTCACTCCAGAAGCAGGAATTATGAAAGAATTCTTTGAAATTCTAAATGATGATAATTTTATACTAAAGGCAAAGCTTATTTACAAGGTCTATGGAGCATTTGGAATTAAATCTATTTCCCCACCCCATTCCAAGATTAGCTTTTGGAAAAAAAGTGCTTTAAAGTGATTACCTAAGGAATTTTTCCCATGATGTTTACCTCTACTTAATGAGTGATGTTACCCTAAACTCACACATACAACATTTTTTAAAAAAAGTTATCTCCATTTAATCATGAAATACATTATTAGATTTCTGATGTATAGCATAACCAATGCAACATTTGTAAGTATTTACAGACAAATAGGTTATATAGAAAAAACCCAACAGACACAGCAGTCAAAAGAAAATTGGCATGTTCCTTGACCACTTGCAAGATCGTATTCTATTTGTATTTATTCCTTTTACAAGGGTTACAGCCAACCATTTGCAAAGAGTCATTGCCCTTATTTCATTACATTTCAGCCAACACGTTGAAAATCGTATGGTTTCAAGAAAACCGTACATGAGAAAGGAAAAGAGAGGGCTCTCCCATCCGCGCCGCTTGCCAGCAGCTTTGCGTAAGCAGCTCCCTCGAGCTCGGGGCTGCCAAGCGGTGCCCTGATGCCGATGAAACCCGGGATCCCAGTGCTGACATGCTCGATTTATGTAACTGCTGCACACAAAATGATTGTTCGCTTGTAATTTACTGCTTTTAATCTGCGTGTAATCCTTTCCCTCCTATGTCAGATAGACACAGACTAATCCTTCTGCTTCCTTACAAGCATTGTAAACCTTCCTGGGGTGGCTCGGGCTTTTTTTTAGGGGGGAAATTAATAGAAAATAATCAGCTCAAAAATGGTAACGAAAGCATCCTTTTTAGAAGATGCATTACCCACTAGGGAAACCACATAAATGTCTGTGCTCACAGTCTCATTCATGAAATAGGTATGTGAGAAGGGACTTGGCGCAGCTTATGAGAATCCTATTACAGAAATAGATTTAGTTAAAACTCTTAATTTATCTGAGGACAGGAAGATGAAACAGCTGAATATTTTGAACTTTGAGGGGTATTTAAAGCTCTATATAGGTGTCAGCATATTCTTTCATGTGGAAGAATAAGCGAAAATGTCTTCTAGCCAAACAAAGGTTTTCAAAAGAAAGAAGCTGCGCAAAGCTCAACTAAGAGGATATTTAAATTGTCAGCTTTGGGATGATCATGTTTTAAAATATTTTAATATCTAGTGAACACTTCAGAGAAGAGTTAAGCTAAGGGGTTTGTTTGCCTGTTTCTTAACAGCCTTAAAATAACAGTGTTCCAAATAAATTTTGCTGGGCATACAACGTTGGGGGTATTTGCATCAAAATATAAATGCACGGGGCCAGAATTGTAAGTGTATTTAGGAACCTTAACGGTTCGGGCAGATAACAAGTGGGATTTCCAAGGCATGCAGTCACGTTACTGCCTTTGAAAACAGTGCTGGGGTGTAATACTCAAACTGAGGCTGCAAATATGCCTTGTGAGATGACGGGGTGAGCAGTTGTGCTCTACCTCTAATCATTACGTTTAGGTTGGTGATGATGTGACTCCTGTTCTGGCAGAACCCTAAGTCTGAAGTTTACATTCTAGAAATGCAGATGGGTTTGTTTTCTTTCCAGTTATGGGATGTTCACATGTGACTGGCAGTGAGAGGATACTTCTGTCAGATCCATAGATGGGTGGCAGAAAGTGTCTCCCCAGGAAGGGGACACTTGCCCTGGCTGGCCCAGGTCTGCCCTGGCGTACCCATGGGAGGTGGGAGCAG